TCAGACACTGTCCAGGTCGGAAGGAGGCGTGAATAGCGCTCGACATATATCGCATCGTGGAGCGGCACTTCCGCGTCGATCTTTCGCGTTTCGCGCAGACTAAGCGCGAATGAAAGTCCGTCCGCTTTGGAGTCGGGAGAGCCACCCATGTCGACAGGCTCAAGTCTCTGACCGGCCCTCGAAGGTATCACCCTGTATTCCTCTTTGCCGAACGAAAATGAGTCCAACACCGTGTCGGACAAGAGTTTCGATTCGATCCACCGCTCCGCGAGACTGCTCCGCGCGGTCAGTATCGAGTTTTCCTTGTCCAGTCGGTAGATCTGCCAGTCCAAACCGCTATGCAAGAGCCGGCCGAGCGTGGCTCTGTCAGGCAGCTCGTGCTTTACCGGAAACCAGCGCTCGTTGGCCATGGCTACCCCCGAATGACGTTCGTGATGTAGAGCATGTCCGTATCCGAACCGGCGTCTATCTGAATCTGCCAAAGGTGCCCGACGATTTGCCGCAGTCCGTCGATGTCATCGTTCTGGAGAGAAGTCATCCCCAGGGCCACCAGCTCCTTGAATCGATCCGGGTCCGAGAAGTGGTGCGGCGACGATGTCATCCACTTGAACTTCTCTACGACGAACCAGTCCTGACGCCAGAGAATCTCGAAGTTCTTGCCCCTAAGTTCGTTCAGGTGGCTTTCAAAATCCCTGTCATTCCGGTCGATGGAGCGCCGAGCCGTTCGAACCAAGTTGTCGAATGTGTGTTCCTCGCTTGGACGCGCGAACTGGCGGATATGTTCATTGAAGGACTCGCTGGCGCTGTCCAACTCCAACTGTCTGATCTCTTTAAGATTGTCTTTGCGCACCTGAGCCAACAGGCGACGTGCTGCAACGACTCCCTCCCTGGCCTCGAGGGCGCGTTCGGTATCCGGTTCCTCCGGATCAAGGTGTGATGATGCCGCGAGCTTCCAGCGTGCCTGCTCAAGCTTCGGGTCGTCGACAACATCATCGATCTTTTCGAGGCGTTGAAGCGTCCCCTCACCCTCTTCCCTGACGCGGGCCGACTCCCTGCTGAAATCCATCTGGCCTTCTTGTGGAGAGTAAAAATTCCGCCCGGAGTGAAAAGTTCCGCCAATGCTCGCAACGGACACCTCCAGGACGATGTTCCCAGAATCGAGCATCTCGAAATCGCATTGCAGGTCTCCGCCAGCGGGGATCACTCCGTCGTCGAAATCATGACCGGTGATCTTGAGCACTCCGATAGACCGATTGTCGGAGGGCTCGTCGCTTTCGCCTTCCCACAGCTTGAAGTTCAGAGAGCCGGTGCTACGAGCCTTCAAGGACTCACCCGCCTTGAAAACACGGCTACCTTTCTTCGGCAACTGATCTCCCGCCCGTACAAGCCATTCGATGGTTGGGGAGCCCCCAAGCTTCTCAAGGACTTCGATCCCAATCGAGTGAGACGCGGGAATAGCATCGACTGTCGCCGCGGTCCGTGTAATGAGCATCTTGTCCTGGTCGAGCACCAAAGGACCGCCGGCCGCGTCGAACACGAACACCTTGAAAGCGTTTTCTCCGTTTTCTGGCAGGAAGACATCGACGGCCGCACCGTCTTTCAGAGGAAGACGACCTGACGTCCAGCCGGTATCCAGGCTGTCAACCTGAAACTCGGTCCCCGGCATGACCTCACCGCCAACCCGGACGACGATCTTCGCCCGCGTGCCCGGCGTACGCGCTGTGTAATCGAAGGTCAGGTCAAGCGCTCCGGTCGAAGTGAGTCTACCGCGGCTGCTCTTGCGGCCGCGTTTCTCCGAGCGCCACTCGATGGACTCCGCAAAGAGGGCGGCGCCCTCCGCCACGGCTGTCATTGGATTGACTTCGGCGCTCGCAGGAATTCCCAGGTCGAAAGAGACTTTATCGCGAAGCGGTTTGTAGTTGGCAGGACCACCGATGAAGACCATACGCTCGACGTCATGAGGACTAAGTCCCGCCTTGGCGAGCGTCTCCCTTGCTGCCTCGATGGATTCACCAATCTTTTCTTCGATCAGGCTGTTCAGGGTGCTCCGAGCGACTGGGATATCGACGTAAATTTCCTGGCTGGACTTGTCCCGAACGCGGACCTCCGTTTCAGACAGACTGATGATTGCTTCCTCGCGCGCTGCCAGTTCGATCTTCGCCCGCTCTGCCGCCCACGCCGCCAGTCGCAGCAACGACTTGTAGTCGGGATCGATCGTCAAGTCCTCCGGCAGGTCGAAATTCTCCAATAGCCAAGACTTGATGACGTTGTCGACCAGCAGGCGGTCAAAGTCTCGGCCACCGCACATCGCAATGCCTCCATGCGAGAGCAGATTGATTCGACCACCCAGGCTCTCCGCCAATGCGATATCCAGTGTGCCGCCGCCGAGGTCATAGACAACGAAGATGCCATCCGCATTGCGAGCCTTCATGACGCTCATGACTGCCGCCACAGGCTCCTGCATCAGCGCGATCCGGCCGATGCCCGCGAGCTCCGCAGCCTGCATCGTGGCGTTTTTCTGCATCTGATTAAACGCCGCAGGCACGGTGATAACAGTCCCCACATCCGGGTCGTTGCGGAGTTCCTCTGGCAGATAGCCAAACAGCGCCCGAAGAATCTCCGACGAACATTCCTCGGGGGTCATGGTGATGTCCATGCCAGACAGCTTGATAGGCGTGCTCGTCCCCATAAAGCGTTTAAAGAGCATTGCCGCGTTGTCCGGGCTATGAGGCGCTGAGTCGTATGCTCGCTTGCCCACGTACTTGTTACCCCGCCGGTCGATATAGATCACGGAGGGAGTAACATCATTTTGTTCTGGGCTCTTCCAAATGCGGGTCTGCTCGCCATCGTACGAGCAGATCGCACTGTTCGTGGTGCCCAGGTCGATGCCGACGTAGTGTTTCATGGTGCCGCCTTCCTGAGCGTAACAGTCCCTGTTCTAACGACGCCGTCGCGTCCCATGATTACTGGTTCGAGCATCTGGTCTACGACCAAGGCGTCTTCAGGCCCAAATTCCTCGATGTTCAGTGGCGTGGCCGCCATTCCCGAGTCGAATGCGTGACCCTCTACATTCACAATCCGCATCCCTGCGTCCGTGAGCGAGTCTTCGAGCTGTCTCTGGAACCAACGAAACTGTCCCCGATACCTGCCTTGCTCCCCCGCGTCCAGTTTCAGCAGAAGTCGATCGAAAAGCCTGCCGAGACGCCAAGATTCGACGGCGACGTCCAATAGCGACTTCGTCAGCACCTCGCGATCAGGTTTTTCGTATTCTTCTGACATCCCGACTATTCCCTTGACATCACCACTCTCCGACAAATTCAGGCGGGCTGAGGAGTGTGGGTGGGCCTGGGGAGGGGCAGGAGGATATGGGAAAGGGGAAGAGGAGGAGGACGTGATTGAGGGAGGCGGACAAGCAGCATCTCGACACCAACTTGAGTGAGCCCGGATCGTCGAGCTGCCAGAACAACACGTGGGTGTCGAGCAGCGCCCTCATCGCCCGAGACTCTCCCAAACCTCCTCCGGAAACACTGGCCCGATCACATCACCAACGAAAGTGACAGTGCCGCGCAACTTCGACTGCGGATACTCGGCCTCGGCGTTGCTCACCGGCACGAGCTCGGCCACGGGACGCCCCCGCTTTAAGATGACGACGCTCTCGCCGGTGGTTTGGACCCGGTCGAGGATTGCGAGACACCGACCTTGAAATCGGATGCATTTACGGTTTTCATCTGACTAGTCCCATGGAACCAGAAAAGAAATTCGGATGACTACAGCTCCAGCTTGTAGAACCGCCGCGCGTTTCCGCCCAGCAGCGCCGCTCTCTCCTCCTGGGTGAGCGAATCGTTTTTCTTGATGGCGTCCACCCGGCCCCAGTCCATGTCGCTGTGAGGGTAGTCGCTGGCGTACATCAGCGAACCGGCGCCTACCTGTTCGATGATGGCCCTCAGGTTCTCGTCGTCTTCGAAGCCCGAGAGTATCCTTCCGGCCAGGATATCCTCCATGGGCTCGCGTATGGTCTCCGGCAGGGTGTAGGGCTCTCTGCCCCAGTTGCCCTCGTGCCGTCCGTCGCCCCGGGGTCCCCGGACGTGCTCGATGTGCTTTCCCACCCACCAGGCCCAGTAGGGGAACCAGGTTGCGCCGATCTCCAGGAAGGCGCAGCGGAGGTTGGGGTAACGGGCCAGGATGCCCATGCGGGCCACCGACATCATGCCCACCATCATGGAGAACGGCATGGCGGTGACGTGGGTGGAGAAGAAGTCGGTGAAGCAGTCGGCCCAGGGCGTGTCGTGCATGCCGGTGACGGCGTGGAAGCCGATGGGCGTGTCGAGCTCGTCGACGGCGGCGAAGAACGGCTCGTATTCGGGAGCGTGCAAGGGCCGGTTCCCGACCATTCCAGGCAGCAGCACCCCGGCCAGACCCAGCTCCCCCACCGCCCTTTTCGCCTCCTCCGCCGCGCCCGCCGGGTCCTGGATCGGCACCATGGCGATGGCGTTTAGCCGCTTGCTCGCCTTGGAGCACTGCTCGGCCACGTAGTTGTTGTAGGCGCGGCACACGGCGCCCGCCAGCTCCGCGTTCTCGAGGTCGAACACCCACACCAGCGCGGTGGGGAAGACCACCTGATAGTCCACCCCCATCAGATCCAGGTCGTCGAGGCGGCCGGGGACGTCGTCCAGGGAGTTGTCCCGGGCCTTCATCTGCTTGTGGCGCGGCGTGGGATAGTTGAACCCGCCGCCGCCCACGCCCCTGGAGAAGGGAATCCGGGGCACCACCCGCCCCTCGGCCACCCAGCGGCCCTGATCCCGGGGCTCGCCGGGCATGTCGATGACCCGGGGCCGGAGCGGGTGGAACTCCTTTTCGATGTAGCGGTCGAACAGATCGAAGGGCTCGTGCAGATGGCCGTCGGAGTCGATGGTCAGCATGGTACCTCCCGCGGACATGTGTGGGGTAACTGGTCAGAGTCTCCCGGCGAGACTCCGAGGGGCTACGGGGTGGCAGGAAGCCTACGCGCCGTATTTCTCCCATTGCTCGGGCGAGAAGGTCTTCAACGAGAGCGCGTGGATCCGTTCGTCTCCCATCTCATCCTTGAGCGCGTCGTAGACCATCTTGTGCTGGTCGATCAGACCCTTGCCGGCGAAGGAATCATGCACGATGACCACCTGGTAGTGGTCGCCCCCGCCGGTCAGGTCCTTGATCATCGGCACCAGACAACCCGGGAAAACTCGCCCCAGCGTATCCTCTATCTCTTGTGGCTGCAATCATACGGCTGGATTACCACAAAACAGGGGGGCGGACCACCGAAGACGGGGCGGCTTGCCCCACCCCCGGCCCACGGACCCCGGATCAATTCCGGGGTGACGGGAGTGTTCCGCGATGACAGAGAAGTAATCCGGGGTGACGGAGCGTTGGCCCCGACCCGCCTCGGGCTCACGCCTGCACGTCGTAGTCGCTCCGGCACTGCTGAATCATGGCGCGCATATCGGCCCGCAGTCTCCTCGTTGGTGGGCCGGCCCACGTAGTACCAGCCATTGTAGACGCGGTGGACCGTGAGATCGGGCAGCAGCGAGAAGGCGTATGGAATCGCTATAGTCCCGTGCTTCTTGTCCGAGGTGTCGACGATGTCCAGGGCCTCGATGGCCTTGTGCTCATGGTCGCTGAGAAGCGGGAACGTCGCCCCGAGACCGTTTCTGAGCGCCCCGTTGACTTGAGGCGGGTCGACGCTGACGACGGCGACACGGCAATAGGCAGAGGGAAGCTCCTCCTGCAGGGTGACCAGGTGGCGCAACTGCACCACGCACTTCCCTCACCAGTAGCCGCGATAGAACACCACGATGAGGGGAAATTTGCCCTCGGTGACCTCTGACAGCTTGACCTCTTGGCCGGTATGGTCCTTCAGCGCCAGATCCGGAAACTTCTCACCAACGGTTTGATTCATGATTTGCCTCCCTGGTGTACCGATACGGTATTGCTGAAACCGGGCACGGGCGGGTTTCGAAACCCGCCCCTACGAGTCCTGTCCTCCTGAACCTACGGCGCCGGCATTGCCCAGCGTGCCAACTCCGCTGCCGAAAGCTCGGCGCCAAGCCCCGGGCCGTCAGGAACCGGCACTCGCCCTCCTTGCAGATCCAACGGCTGCTCCACCACGTCGCCGGCCATCTTGAGCGGCCCCACCGACTCGCAGCCGTCCATGATGTTGCCACAGCTCGCGGCGACATGGAGCTCCGCCAACGTGTTGATGGTCAGCCCGAAACCATGGCCGATGACACACCGGATTCCTGCGGCCTCGGCCATGTGCACCATGCGGACGGTTCGCATGATGCCCCCCCTGCTTCATCACCTTGACCTTGATGATATCGGCGGCCTCTTTCCGGATGACCTCCATCAGAGTCTCGGGACCGACGATGGCTTCGTCCGCCATCACCGGGATGTCGATGCCGCGCCGCACTCGCGCCAAACCGGCGTAGTCGGCCCGGGATACCGGCTGCTCGAACAGCGCCACATCCAGCGGGGCCAGAGCCCTGCCCAGACGGATCGCCTCGTCCACCTCGTAACCCTCGTTGGCATCCACCCGAAGTTCCAAACCGGCCCCCACCGCGCCGCGCACCGCGGCCACCCGGTCCCGATCGGACTCCACCCCGGCGCCCAGCTTGATCTTCACCGAGCCGAAGCCGGCATCGCGCCAACCCACGGCCTCCCGCGCTGCCTCGTCCGGAGCCAGCATACCGATCCAGCCGTTGAGCCGCACCTCGTCCTTCAGCCGCCCGCCCAGCAGCGAGTGAACCGGCTGGTTCAATGCCCTGCCCTTGAGGTCGAAGAGAGCCATCTCCAGGGCCGCCTTGGCGTCCAGATGCCGCGGAAGGCAACGGTCCATGAGATCCAGCGCCGCCGAGAGGTTCAGCGGATCGCGACCGGCGAGACCCGGCGCCAGCGTCTGCACCGCCTTCAGGGTCTCGCTGAAGCTCTCCGCCGAGTGACCCGGATCCGGATCGACGTTGCCCAGACCCGAGATGCCCTCGTCCGTACGCACGCGCACCACGATGCTATCCTGCCGGGTCTTGGTGTCATGGGCGTTACGGAAAACCCCCTTCAGGGGAATCCGCAACGGATGGATATCGATACCGGTGATTCTCATTGGACCCGCGGCCTCTTGCCCGGGTCGAGACCCGGGACCAACTGCTTTGCCTTGCACGCAGCGGCGAGCTACTGAATCATACCCACAACCTCTCGGTTGGGCGAACGGTCAAGGAGGATCCACGAGATGACTACGGCTTCACGGTTGCGCCAGGCAATGGCCGAGGACGGTTGCCTGACGGTTCCCGGCGTTCACGACGGCTTGACCGCATTGCTCGCGGAACAGGCCGGCTTCCGGGTGGCCCTGCTCGGAGGCAACGCCACCACGGCCAGCGTCCTGGGCCTTCCGGATCTCGGTTTTCTCTCGGCTGACGCGCTCATCACGCACGTTCGGAACATTTGCCACGTGCTACGCATCCCTCTCCTGGTGGACGCGGACACCGGCTTCGGCGGCCCGCTGCAGGTGCACCGGGTTGTAGCCGCGCTGGAACGGGCCGGCGCGGCGGCGATCCAGATCGAGGACCAGGTGCCCGCCAAGAAATGCGGACTCCTCGAGGGAGGACACCCGCTGATCTCCGCAACGGAAATGGTAGAGAAGGTGCAGGCCGCCACCGCCGCCCGGAAGGACGCGGACACCGTGATCGTCGCGCGCACCCTGGCCTACTCGTCCGGCGGCCTCCAGGAGGCCATCCGTCGCGGCTGCGCCTACCGTGAAGCCGGCGCCGGCGCGATCTTCGTGCAGTCTCCGGGCACTCTTGAGGAACTCCGTGAGATCCGCGGCTCCATTCCGGGCCCGCTGGTAGTCAACATGGACGAGGCCATCCCTGCCTCCGCCCTGGACGTGAGCGAAGCGGCGGCCGAGGGTTACCAGATGGCACTCTTCCCCGGATCCATCCGGTACACCCTGGTGAAGGCGGTCAAGGAAACCCTCGCCGTGTTGGGCCGGGAAGGCACGACCCGGCGCCACAGGGACCACATGGCGTCCCTGGCCGAGTATCACGACGTGTTGCGAATGGACGAGTTCCTGGAGCTGGAAGGCTCGCTGACGAAGCCCTCGTAGACACCTGCCGGTTGCTTGGCTCCTGCCGCCGCGGCCCGGCAGCGAAGCGGGGCCGCCCCACCTCCTGGATTCCCGCTTCCGCGGGAATGACGGTGCGGCGAGTCCCAGCCACACCGGAAAACATGCCGAGTTCAGGAAGACTCGGATCAATAGTGCCGGCGCCCTTCGAGCCAGCGGCCATTGATCAGAGTCTTTGGAAACACAGCCTGGTTCGCAAAACGCCGTACCGCCCCGCATCCCTCCCTCTCCAATTGGCCGATCGAGAGGAACTCGCAACATACAAATGACGGTGCGGGTGACCGTGCCATTCCGGTAACCATGGGATGTTTTGACACGGCGATTTTGCGGGAACGACGAAGCGGGGCGTGGTCCAGGACTCGCGACGCGCCTGTTACTGTCAGGCGCGTATGTTCTCGAGGAAGAGTTCGGTGGGTATCTCCTGGCCCAGCCCGGCTTCGCGGGCGCGTTCGTACACGGCCGCGGTGACGGCGCTGAACTGGGGGCCGATGGCGCCGATGTTCATGAACCAGGCGGTCTGCTCCGGGCTGGTGCGGCCGGGGACCCGGCCGCTCATGAGATCCGGCAGCTTGGGGATGTCCACGATGTCCGGCGTCAGGTCTACCCGCGGCACCAGCGCCCGGTCGTCCGGCTGACCCGCGACGTAGCCGAGATATCCGCCCCTGGCGTAAAAGGCCTCCGGGGGCGGTTTCTCCAGGTAGGGGGTGGCATCGCCGGGCCGCACCGCGACGTCCACGGCGTGAAGGAAACCCGGCTCCACCGAGTTCCGGTTGACGTCGATGACGGTCATACCGGGCTCCAGCCAGTCGGCGAAGAACACCGGCTCGATGGCCGACGCGCAGCAGCACACGATATCGGCGCCCCGCACCGCACTCCGCGCGTCCGGCGCCACCACCACCTCTATTTCGTGCCGCGCCCTCATCTCCTCAGCGTATTCCCGGGCATTGGCCGGGTTGAGGCTGAACACCGTGACCCTGGTGATGGGCCGCACGCGGACAAGGGCGTCGAGGTAGCTCCGGGCCATGCCGCCGGAGCCGATCATCGCCACGGTACGGCTGTCCTCCCGCGCCAGATACTTGGCGCCGAGCCCGGCGCCCGCCCCCACGCGGTCGTGCTGGAGCCGGCCGTCGTTCATGATGGCCACGGGGGTGGCGTCACGGGCGCTGAAGAGCAGCAGCAGGCCGCAGTAGGTGCCGGGCTCGCGGGCATACTTGTTCTCACGCCGGTGGCCGCGTTCCATGGGCCAGCTCACCATGTCGGAGATGATACGGATGCAGGCGTAGCCGTCCTTCCGGCTGCCCCCGACCATGAGGGCGAGGCGGTGGTAGGGGGACTCCTGGCCCGACGGCACGTACATGTCCATGCGGCCCATGCCGACGGCGTCGCCCCGGGCCAACTCCCAAAAAAGACTCTCCAAGGAGTCCAGGCAAAGGGGCATGTCGATCACACGGGCCACATCATCGTTGTTCAGAAACAGCATCGTTCGCTCCTCGTATCGTGCAACCATGGATGACCGGAGTGTTTTCCACCGGCCCCCGGTAGAGTATATTGGGACGATGCGGCCCGGCGTTGAAGCTCACACCGCCGCGCCGGCCACCCTGTCGAGGCACCGAAAGGAGAACAGTCATGCCTCTATATGAATTCCAGTGCAAGGGCTGCGGCCACGAGTTCGAGGACCTGGTTCTGGGCTCTGCCCAACCGGCCTGTCCGTCCTGCAACAGCCGGCAGCTTGAACGGCTGCTTTCCGTGTTCGCGGTCAGCGCCGCCGCGGACGATCCCATGCCGGCCGCGGGTGCGTGCGGAAGCTGCGGCGACCCCAGGGGACCCGGAGCCTGCTCGATGAACTGACAGTGCGTACGAAACGAATGGGCGGCAGGATGCGCAGGACATCGCTCCCGGCCCGGCGTCCGCAGCCGTGGCCCGCCACGCGCAGTTCATGCGTTGGCGTGACTTTGTCGAAAAATTACGGTAAACTATGTAGAATAGCTTAAAGTAGCTGGACACCTTATCCAGAGTGGTGGAGGGACAGGCCCGTTGAAGCCACAGCAACCGTGTTCCCATGGGGAATGCTGGTGCTAATTCCGGCCCGCAAGGGACAGATAAGGTGAGGAGAAAACCTCTTCTCATCTTGGAAGAGGTTTTTTTTCGTTTGGAGTGCCTTTTGGAGTTTCGTTTGAAGCATGCGTCTGACCCCTGAGCAAATCGAGCGATACAGCCGCCAGATCATGATTCCCGACGTTGGAGGGAGCGGACAAATACGGCTGCGCCAGGCGAGCGTCCTGGTGGTGGGGGCCGGCGGCCTGGGCAGTCCGGCGGCGTTCTATCTCGCCGCCGCCGGCGTGGGACGGCTCGGCATCGTGGACAGCGACACGGTGGACCTTTCCAACCTGCAGCGGCAGATCCTTCACACCACCGCGGACCAGGGGCTCCGCAAGGTAGAGTCCGCCAGATCCCGGCTGCTCGAGCTCAATGCAGAGGTGGAGGTGGAAATCCACGACGTGCGGTTGACCGAGGAAAACGCCGCCGAGCTCATGGCGCCCTACGACTTCGTCATCGACGGGAGTGACAACTTCGATACCAAATTCCTGGTCAACGATGTGGCCGTATCCCTGGGCAAGCCGTTTTCCCACGCGGGGATCGTCCGCCTCGAGGGCCAGACCATGACGGTGGTGCCCCCGGACAGCGCCTGCTACCGCTGCCTGTTCGAGGAGCCGCCGGCTCCGGGCGAAGTGCTGGGGTGCCAGCAGGCAGGCATTCTGGGTGCGGTGGCGGGAACCATCGGCTCCATCCAGGCCACCGAGGCCATCAAGTACATCGTCGGCCTCGAAGAGCATCTGCTGGTAAACCGTCTGCTCACCTACAACGCCAAGACCATGGAAATACGCAATGTGCCGGTGCCGCCGAACCCCCGCTGCAAGGCTTGCAGCGCATCCGTCGGCTCGCCGGCTTCCCGAAGGAGTCAAGCATGAGTTTTGTCCAAGGACTGAAATGCCGGGAGTGCCAACAGGAATATCCCACGGCGCCTCTCCACGTGTGTGAATACTGCTTCGGTCCCCTCGAGGTGATGTACGACTATGACGGTATCCGGAAAAGCATAAGCCGGGAGAAGATCGCCTCCCGCCCGCGCAACCTGTGGCGCTACCACGAGCTCCTGCCCATCGAAGGAGAGCCCACGGTCGGCCTCTACTCGGGCTTCACACCACTGATACGGGCCCGACGCCTCGGCGAGGTCCTGGGCGTCGACGAGCTCTACATCAAGGACGACTCGGTCAACCACCCGACCTTCTCCTACAAGGACCGGGTCGTATCCGTAGCGATCTCCAAGGCCATCGAGTTCGGCTACGACACCGTCTCGTGCGCGTCCACGGGGAATCTGGCCAACTCCGTTTCGGCCCACGCCGCCAGTGCCGGGCTCAACTGCTACGTCTTCATTCCCGAAGGGCTGGAAGAAGCAAAGATCGTCGGCTCCGCGATCTACGGTCCGCGAACCATCGCCATCAAGGGGAACTATGACGACGTCAACCGCCTGTGCAGCGAGATCGGCGACAAATACCAATGGGCGTTCGTCAACGTGAACCTGAGGCCCTACTATTCCGAGGGCGCCAAAACCCACGCCTTCGAGGTCGCCGAACAGTTGGGATGGAAACTGCCGCGCCACATCGTCGTGGGCTCGGCGGGTGGAACCATCCTGCCCAAGCTGGGCAAGGCGTTCAAGGAGCTCCGGGACGCGGGGCTGGTGGATGCGGACGAGCCGTGCAGCATCTACTCGGCCCAGGCGGCGGGCTGCTCCCCGATCATCAACGCCCTGAAAAAAGGCACGGATGTCGTCGATCCGGTGAAGCCCAACACCATCGCCACCTCCATTGCCATTGGTAACCCGGCCGACGGGTACTACGTGATTCAAACCATCAAGGAGACCGGCGGTTGGGGAGAGTCCGTCACGGACGATGAGATTCTCGACGGCATCAAGCTCCTGGCGTGCACGGAGGGCATCTTCACCGAGCCGGCCGGCGGCACGGAGGTCGCGGTCACCCGGAAGCTCATCGAGCAGGGCCGGATTCCCCGGGACGAGTCCATCGTCATCTCCATCACGGGCAACGGCTACAAGACGGTGGAGACGGTGGCTCCCATCATCGAGCGGCCTTTCAGCATCGACGCGAGCCTCGGCACCTTCGACAAGTTGTACGGCGAGTTGTCACAGGAACCACCGGACAAGGCAAAGGCAGGCTGATACAAGCGCCGACGGGCCAGGGAGGGGCGGCCCGCCACGCCCCGACATCCGTATTGAAAAGGATGCATAGAGAGTTTATCCTACTAGAAGGGGAGGTTCTTTCATGAGTGTTCGTGTACGCGTCCCGACACCGCTGAGGAAATTCACCGAGGGATCGGATGAGGTGGATGCCAACGGCGATACCGTTTCGGCCATGCTCGAGGATCTGGAGCAAAACCACCCGGGCATCAAAGAGCGCATCATGGACGACGCCGGCAAGGTTCGCCGGTTCGTGAACGTCTATGTGAACGGCGATGACATTCGCTTCCTCAAGAACGTGGACACCACGTTGAAGGACGGTGACAACATATCCATCGTGCCGGCTATCGCGGGAGGTATGTAACCTCGTGCCGCTTCCCGGTCTTTTATGCTCACCGCAATACCGAAACCCGCACCGCCGGCAGCTCGGGAACTCGCGAAGGTCGACACCGTAACCGAGCTCATCGGCAACACGCCACTGGTGGAGATCAGGAGTGTCGCCCGCGGCCTGTCTCCGGGTGTGAGGGTTCTGGCCAAGCTCGAAGGCTTCAATCCGGGCGGTTCGGTGAAGGACCGGGCCGCACTCAGGATGATCCGGGAGGCGGTGCGCACGGGCCAGCTCAGACCGGGCCAGACCATCATCGAATCGACCTCGGGGAACACCGGTATCGCCATCGCCATGATCGGCGCGGCGTTGGGCTACCCGGTGCGTCTGGTGCTGCCGTCCAATGTCAGCGAAGAACGCAAGGGCATCATCCGGTTTTTTGGTGGCGACATCGTATACAGCAATCCGATGGAAGGGTCCGATGGGGCCATTCGACTCTGCCGCGAGATCGTCGGTGAGGAACCGGGGATTTATTTCAAACCCGATCAGTACTTCAACCCCATGAACAGCCAGGCCCACTACGAGACCACGGGCCCGGAAATTCATCGTCAAACCGGCGGGAGCGTCACCCACTTCGTGGCCGGCATCGGTACCGGCGGAACCGTCATGGGCACCGGGCGTTTCCTGAAGGAACGGGACCCCCGGATTCGGGTGATCGCGGCAGAACCGGACGCCGCGCTGCACGGACTCGAGGGGCTGAAACACATGGCCAGCTCCATCGTGCCCGGAATCTACCACGAAGAGGACCTCGACCTGAAAATCCCCGTGTCGACGGAGGATGCGTACGAGATGGTCTACCGCCTGAGTCAGGAAGAAGGGCTGCTGGTGGGTCAGTCCTCCGGCGCCGCCTTGGATGCGGCATTGCAGATTGCCCGTCAGTTGACCCACGGCACGGTGGTCACGGTGTTCCCTGACTTCGGCAGCCGGTACATGACAACCAATCTATGGACGACCTGGAAGGAAAAGCTGGATGTCGGCAACCTCGACTTCTCTATTTGAAAACGCCGTCATCGTGAGTGTCCTGAAACTCTACAAGGACGTGGGAGCCAACCCGTGTCGTACGATTTAACACGGTCATGATCATCCGCTGTCCGAGCTGTTCCACGACGTACAAGGTGAGCGGCAGCGTTTTCGACGCGCCCAGGCCCACCTTCCGTTGCACTCGCTGCAAGCACATCTTCACCTTTCAGGTCCGCCTGCAGTTGGACGACGAGGACCCGTCGGCGGCCGCCGCCACGACGGACCAGATGCCCGAGGCGGGTGCGGCCGGCGATGGACCCGTCGCCGGCGGCGGACCCGATATCGACGAGGAGCCCTACGCTGAAGGCCTTGTGGATACCCACGACAGCCAGGCTTCCCGGGTTGAGGCCGCTGGGGCGCACACCGGAGCGGCGCAGGGCACTCTGGAGTTGCCGGGTACGCAGGCCGAAGCCGAGCCGGCGAACCGGGATTCCGGTGAAGCGCAAGCGGCCGGCGACGACTTCGACGAGATCCAGTTTGACGACCGGGACTTTGATCCGGCCGTGGAGGCTGACCGGCCTGATGTGCGGCCGCCGGTTTCGTTCGAGCAGACTGCCGCCGGTGAAGACGATGTCACATCCCCATCCGAAACGCGCGGAAGCCGGACTTCGAGATCGACGATGATTTCCTGATCCCGCCCAGGCGGGAGGCCGAGCCGCCTCCGCCTCCTCCACGCGCCAACGCCAGGGGTTCCATCGTACCGTTGGTGAGCCTTGTCGCTCTTGCGGTGTTCGCCTTCGTCCTGGTTTGGCTGATCTATCAGGTCAGCCCGCGGCCGCTGGACGCATTGCTACGACGAATACCGTGGTACGGCAGTACCGTGTTCGAGAACCGGCACTTCAAGAGCACCCTGGTGTTTGAATCGCTGGTATCGGGAGTGCAGCCGGTGCTGAATCAAACGGAGGTCTTCATCGTCTCCGGGAAGCTGGTCAACCGCAACGACCGGAGCGTCCACAAGGTGCAGATCGAGACTCAACTCTTTGATGCGGAAGGTAAACAGATCGGCCGGGAGGTCACGTTCGTGGGAAACGGGATTACGGCCAAGACCATACAGGATATGCCGTTTCGGGAGATCTCGATGCTGCAGAGTCTCAAGCCCCTGAGCGCCTATCGAATTCCCGCCGCTCAATCAGCGAACTTTACCGTGGTGTTCCCCAAACCGGACACCGCGGTGGAATCCTTCAGTTGCCGGGTGATTTCGGTGGACGCAGCCGCGTAGCGGCCTGCATCACTCCTTCTTGGGACCCTCGCCCTCGCCTTCCTTGTCGGTTACATCGATCTCGTCCGGGTCGTGGAGGGACTTGCGAAAGCTCTTGATCCCCTTGCCGAGCCCCTGGCCAATCTCCGGAAGCCTCCGGCTGAAGAGCACCAGAATGATCACCAGGATTATCAGCAGTTCCCATACACCAAGGCCAAACATGACGTTACTCTAACCCAAAAGGCGCGATATTGACAGCCATAAAACAGACTTACACGTAGGCTGACACCGGTGCGCAGGTACAGACCAGGTTCCTGTCGCCGTAGGCATTGTCCACTCGGCCCACGGGCACCCAGAACTTGCGCTGCCGCACCCACTCCCGCGGAAACGCGGCCTTCTCGCGCGAATACGGGTGTGGCCAATCTTCGGCCAACAGGTGGAAAACGCTGTGAGGGGCGTTCTTCAGGACGTTGTCTTGAGGGTCCGCGGCACCCGTCTCGATCTCCCGGATCTCCTCGCCGATGGCGATCATGGCGTCACAGAAACGGTCCAACTCCTCGAGTGATTCGCTTTCCGTCGGTTCGATCATCAGCGTGCCCGCCACCGGCCATGACATGGTCGGCGCATGAAAGCCGTAATCCATGAGCCTTTTGGCCACGTCTTCCACCGTCACGTTGGCCGACGCCTTGAAGGGACGCACGTCGACGATGCACTCGTGAGCCACCATGCCGTGCTTGCCGCGATAGAGAATCCGGTATGCGGACGAAAGCCGGTGCGCGATGTAGTTGGCGTTCAGCACCGCCACCTGGGTGGCCCGGGTCAGGCCCGCGGCCCCATCATGGCGATATAGGCCCAGGATATCGGCAGAATGCCCGCGCTGCCCCAGGGCGCCGAGGACACCGCGGTGATGCCCTCGGGCGGGCCGCATTCAGGCACCACCCCGTGCGAAGGGAGATAGGTCTTGAGATGCTCTCCCACGGCCAGGGGCCCGACGCCCGGGCCGCCCCCTCCGTGAGGAATGCAGAACGTCTTGTGAAGGTTCAGGTGGCACACGTCCGGTCCGATGCGTCCGGGCAGGCACAGCCCCACCAGCGCGTTGAGGTTGGCGCCGTCCAGGTAGACCTGGCCGCCCCGCTCGTGCACCGCGTGGCAGATGTCGGTGATGGCTTCCTCGAACACGCCGTGGGTGGAGGGATAGGTGACCATGAGGGCGGCGAGACGGTCGCCGAAGCGGTCGGCCTTGGCGCGCAAGTCGGTCAGGTCGATGTTGCCGTCATCATCACAGTCCACCACCACCACGCTCATGCCCGCCAGCACCGCGCTGGCCGGATTGGTGCCGTGGGCGGAGCTGGGAATGAGGCACACGTCGCGCTGCTCCTGGCCGTTGGCGGCGTGATACTTCCGGATCACCAGCAGCCCCGAGTACTCGCCCTGGGAGCCGGCATTGGGCTGCACCGACACCGCGGCAAACCCGGTAATGGCAGCCAGCCACTCCTCGAGCCGGGCGATCAGCCGGCGGTATCCGCCGGTCTGGTCCGCCGGCGCGAAGGGATGCATCCGGGCGAACTCCGGCCACGTCACGGGAATCATTTCGGCGGTGGCGTTGAGCTTCATGGTGCAGGAGCCCAAGGGAATCATGGAGTGCACCAGGCTCAGGTCCTTGGCCTGAAGCCGCGCCATGTAGCGCAGCATCTGGGTCTCGGAGTGGTGCCGGTTGAACACCTCCGCTTCCAGGAACGGACTTTGGCGGACGTAACCCTCCGGCAGGTGCGCACGCGCCTCCCGCGCCATGGCGGTGACCGGATCATCGTCCCCCATCGGGACACCGAAGACTCGTAACAGATCCTGTAGCTCTTGCCCGCTGGTAGTCTCGTCCAGCGAGATGTGCAACTGACCGCTGGAGGGCCGTCCGAGATTGATGCCGCGCTCCGCCGCCGACCGCTGGATGCCGTCGGCCTTGTCGGCGTCGACCGCCACACGGAGGGTGTCGAAGAAGCTGTCGGCGGCCAGCGTGAACCCCGCGTCGGTGAGCCGTTCCGCCAGAAAGGAGGCGTGGCGGTGAACCCGCGCCGCGATGTTCCTGAGACCCGACGGACCGTGGTAGACCGCATACATGGCAGCCATGACCGCCAGCAGCACCTGCGCCGTACAGATGTTGCTGGTGGCCTTCTCCCGGCGGATGTGCTGTTCGCGGGTCTGCAAGGCCAGCCGCAGCGCCGGCTGTCCGTGGACGTCCCGGGAGACCCCCACCAGCCGCCCGGGAAGCATGCGCTTGTACCTCTCACGGGTGGCGAGAAAGCCGGCGTGGGGGCCGCCGAAGCCCATGGGCACTCCGAAGCGCTGGGCGCTGCCGACGACGATGTCCGCGCCCATTTCTCCGGGGGGTGTCAGCAGGCACAGGCTGAGCAGATCGGTGGCGACGATGCTCACCATGTTGCGCTCCCGGCATTGGCGGACGAACGCCTTCAGGTCCGGGATCGCCCCGCTGGCGGCGGGATACTGGATAAACCCGGCGAACGCGTCGGCCGGGGGCTCTCCGCACGCGGCATCCGTGACCAGTTCCACCCCGATGGGTGCCGCGCGGGTGCCCACCACCTCCAGGGTCTGCGGGAAGGCGTCCTCGGAAACGAACAGCTTGCGGCGCGGAGCGCGGCTCCGCCCGTGTCCCTGTTGCTCCACGTTGAAGGCCAGGAACACGGCTTCCGCGGCCGCGGTGCCCTCGTCCAGCATGGAGGCGTTGGCGATGTCCATGGCCGTGAGGTCCGTGACCATGGTCTGGAAATTCAACAGGGCCTCCAGACGGCCCTGGGAGATCTCCGGTTGATAGGGCGTGTAGGCGGTGTACCAGCCCGGGTTCTCGAGGATGTTCCTGAGGATGACGGCGGGCGTGTAGCAGTCATAGTAGCCCATGCCGATGCAGGATCGGAGCGGCCGGTTGGCATCGGCGATGTCCCGGGCTTCGCGCAGAAGCTGCTCTTCGGAGAGGGGCTCCGGCAGTTCCAGAGAACCCGAGAACCGAATGCCCTCCGGCACGGCCCGCTCCACCAACTCTTCGAGGGAGCCCAGGCCCAGAACCGCGAGCATCCGTTGGACCTCCGCGGTGCCGGGGCCGATGTGCCGCGACGAAAACAGCTCCCGAAACGTATTCCTGTGATCTGCCTCTTCCACGGTTAAAGCCTCAACGGAATTCAAGCGTCGTCGTCGTCATCCTGACCCTCACAGTACGCTTCGTATTCTTCCGGGTTCATGAGATCATCCAACTCGGCGACGTCCGACATGCTGACCTTGATGATCCAGCCTTCTCCGTAAGGGTCTTCGTTGATGAGCTCCGGCGTCTCCGGCAGGGTGTCGTTGACCTCGACCACGGTACCGCTGACCGGCGCATAGAGATCCGACACCGCCTTCACCGATTCCACCGCGCCGAAGGGATCGTCCTTGCTGATCTTCTCCCCCAGCCCCGGCGCCTCCACGTACACCACATCCCCCAACTCGTTCTGGGCAAAGTCGGATATCCCGATGACGGCATGGTCGTCGTTCTCCACCAACACCCACTCGTGCTCCCTTGAATACCGTAGACCCTCGGGGTACTCCATCGGTTCCTCCTCGGCGGCTGGTGCCGTCGTCATTTGACGTGGGCACGGGCGGGTTTGACGCCCGCCCCTGTATTCGCGGTCTTGCGTACACGGGCGGGTTTGAAACCCGGCCCCACATTCGCGGTCTTGCATATGGGGGCGGGTTCGAAACCCGCCCCCATCCTACCGGACGAATGGGACGCGGACGATGCGGGCGCTTACCCGGCGGCGGCGGATCTCCACCCGAACCTCGGTGCCCAGGGCCGCTGTCTCGGGCGACACATAACCCAGGGCGATGGCCTTGCCCAGGGTCGGAGACCGCGTGCCGCTGGTGACTCGTCCGACCTCGCGTTCGTCGTGAAATATCGGATATCCCTCCCGGGCGATACCCGCCTCCTCCATCTCCAGTCCTACCAGGCGCCGCCGCAACGGCTCTTTCCGCGACAGCACCTCGGACCCGATGAAAGGACCCTTTTCGAGCCTGGTGACCCAGCCGAGCCGCGCCTCCGGCGGCGTGGTGGTCTCGTCGAGCTCGTGCCCGTAAAGGGGGAACCCCTTCTCGAGACGGAGCGTGTCACGGGCCCCCAGCCCGGCGGGCTCCACGGCACCGGTGCCCACGAGCGCGTCCCACAGCCGCACGCCGTCTTCCGCCGGGCAATAGAGCTCGAAGCCGTCCTCGCCGGTATATCCCGTGCGTGAGACGATGCAGCGGACCCCGCTCACCTCGCCCACCAGGAAGTTGAACGCCTTGAGGGCGGGCAGCTCCAGCGCCGTCAACGGCTGCAGGATCGCCTCGGCCGCGGGACCCTGAAGCGCCAGCAGTGCATAGGCGTCGCTCACGTCCCGCACGGTCACGTCATCACCCGCGTGGCTCGCCAGCCACGCGAAGTCGACGGCGCGCCTGGAAGCGTTGACACAGAGCAGATACCGGTCGGTTTCCAGCCGAAAAATCACCAGGTCGTCGATGATCCCGGCCCGCTCGTTCAACAGCAGGGTGTACTGTGCCTGCGACGGCTTCAGCCGCTCGACGTCGTTGGTGGTAACCCGCTGACAGAAGCCCGCGGCGCCGGGGCCCTGCACGTCGATCTCGCCCATGTGGCTCACGTCGAAAAGGCCGGCTCTCGACCGCACTGCCGAATGCTCGGCCTGGATGCCCCGGTACTGAACCGGCATCTCCCAACCCGCGAACTCCACCATGCGAGCCCCCAGGGCCTTGTGCCGGGCATGGAGGGGACTCTTCCTGAGTTCTCGAGCTTGCGCTTCTTCCGCCATGATCGACGGCTCCCGAGCTGGCTAAGAGGCCCCGAGCTGGCCAATACTACGGGCACGGGCGGGTTTGAAACCCGCCCCTACACGGATCGTTGCGCCGACAACAGCGTATTGGACAGCAGCATGCAAATCGTCATGGGTCCGACGCCCCCCGGCACCGGCGAAATCCACGACGCACGCTCCCGGGCGGTGTCGAACTCCACGTCCCCCGCGAGCTTTCCCGTGGGCAGGCGGTTGATGCCGACGTCGATGACCACCGCGCCGGGCTTGATCCATTCCCCTCGAACGGCGCCGGCCTTGCCCACCGCCGCCACCACCACGTCCGCCCGCGCCACCTCCCGGCCAAGGTCCGCGGTCCGTGAGTGACACAGCGTCACGGTGGCGTGCCGTGCCAGCAGCATGAGCGCCACCGGCTTGCCGACGATGTTGCTGCGGCCCACCACCACGGCGTTCTTCCCCTTGAGATCGCAACCTACGGAATCCAACATTCTCATGATTCCCAGGGGAGTACAGGGCTTGAAGCCCGTTCCGCCCGACAGGAGCAGCCCCTGGTTCACTGGATGAAAACCGTCCACGTCCTTTTCCGGAGACACGGTTTCGAGCACCCGATCCGAAGGGATATGGCCGGGCAGCGGCAGTTGCACGAGAATACCGTGGATGGACGTATCCTCGTTGAGACCGCCGATGACCCCCATGAGCTCGTGCTCGGACACCGACGCGGGAAGAACGTGCTCCACCGACCGGATACCCACCTCCGCGCACGCCTTCTCCTTGTTCCGGACGTAAATCCGGGACGCCGGATGGTCCCCCACCAGCACCACTCCGAGCCCGGGAACCACGCCATGGTCGTTTCGGAGCCGCTCGGTCTCCATCCGCACCTCATCCCGCACCTGTTGCGCCACGGCCTTGCCGTCAATAATCATCGTCCTGCCACCTCGCCACCCGAATCCGTCATTCCCGCCTTCCTCCGTCATTCCCGCGAAACAGGCCGTGTCAAACCCCTCTCCCTCTGGGAGAGGGTGGCCGAAGGCCGGTGCGACCCGTCCCAAATCCAACCCCTCTCCCTCTCGGAGAGGGTGGCCTCGTTTCGTCCCAAACCCAACCCCTCTCCCTTTGGGAGAGGGTGGCCGAAGGCCGGGTGAGGGTCCCCAATAACCCTGCCCCTTCCATTCATTGCGCTCCCATTCCTTGCCGTTGACACCGGCCTGCTTGCCACGAGGTTCCCTCACCCCAACCCTCTCCCAGAGGGAGAGCGGGCAGTCTTGACGCGGCCTGGCAAGCGGGACTCCAGGGGGGGCGGAGCGGGGGAAACGCCGCTGTAGCACCCCTCCACCACCCCTGGATCCCGCGATGCGGAGGTCGAGGCAAGCTTTCGTCGAAGGAAACTGACGAATTCAGGGGCCTCTAACCCGTCCCGTATCAATGACGTCTATGCAAAGGTTTCAAAATTCCGGTTAACACGCTCGGAGAAGGAGGTCAATAAATAACGGCAACCGCCGGCCGGGAGCGCTGTCTTGACACCCCATGGGCGCTCACGTACCAATAAATCAATGGTCGTAGGCGTACCGAAAGAGTTGAAAACCGAGGAAAACCGGGTGGCGCTGACGCCCGCCGGGGGCGGCGGCCTTCATCGCCCACGGTCACCAGGTGCTGGTGGAGCGAAACGCCGGCAGGGGCAGCCATATTGCCAACCGCGCCTACACCGCCACCGGCGCAACCGTACTGGACCGGGCCCGGGACGTCTGGAGCCGCGCCGATATGGTCATGAAGGTCAAGGAACCGCTCGCCGAGGAGTTCGCCCACCTGAGGCCGGACCTGACGGTCTTCACCTATCTCCATCTGGCGGCGCAACCCGAGCTGGCGAACATCCTGTGCGAGCGGGGCGTCACCGCCATCGGCTACGAGACCATCGCGCTGGACGACGGCTCGTTGCCGCTGTTGACGCCCATGAGCGAGATCGCCGGGCGGCTGTCGCTGCAGGTGGGGGCGTGGTGTCCTCCAGGCGGAACACGGCGGCAGGGGCGTGCTCCTGGGCGGCGCCTCGGGGGTCCGTCCGGGCAAGGTGGTGGTGCTCGGAGCCGGCACGGTGGGCGCGTCCGCCTGCCAGGTGGCCGCCGGCATGGGCGCCGACGTCAGCGTGCTGGACGTCAACCCTACCCGCCTGCGCTACATCCACGACATCCTGGGCGGCCGGCTCACCACCCTCATGTCCAACCGGGCGAACCTGGAAGAAGAGATCGTCGACGCCGACCTCCTGATCGGCTCGGTGCTCATTACCGGAGACAGGACTCCCCTGCTGCTGCCGCGGGACCGCATCAAGCAGATGAAGCGGGGCGCGGCCATCGTCGACGTGTCCATCGATCAGGGCGGATTCGCCGAGACCTCCCGGCCCACCACGCACCGTGATCCCATCTACGTCGAGGAGCGCGTGGTGCACTATTGCGTCACCAACATGCCGGCGCTGGTGCCGCACACCTCCACCTACGCCCTGACCAATGCCACGCTGTCCTACGGCCTGGCCATGGCCGACAAGGGTCTTCAGCAGGCGATGCAGGAAAACCGGCCCTTGGCCCGGGGGCTCAACGTGCACGCCGGCAAGGTGACCCATGCCGGCGTCGCCAGCGCCCTGAAGATGCCCCTGGCTTCGGTGGAAGAGGTTCTTTGCGCATGAGGCTGGTAACCCGACCGGACTTCGACGGCATCGTCTGCGGCGCTCTCATCACCGCCCTCGAGGACATCGGTTCCTACCTGTTCGTGGAGCCCAAGTTCATGCAGGACGGCGTCGTCGACATACGCCACGGGGACATCATCGCCAACCTCCCCTACCACCCGGCCTGCAGCCTCTGGTTCGACCATCACTTCACCAACGGCGACGCGGGCTTCGATCGCCCCGTGGTCGCCGGGCGCGGCGCCTTCCGCATGGCGCCGAGCGCCGCCCGGGTGGTGTACGAATACTATTCGGAGGTCCCCAGCGCTTCGCCGGAGCGCTATCGTTCCGGGCTGCCCATGATGGACACCGACCGCGTGACCGAGCTGCTGCGGGACACGGACAAGATCGACGGCGGCACCTTGACCCGCGACGACGTGCTCCACCCGGCGGGCTACGTGCTGATCTCCATGACCATCTACGGCAAGGAAACCGACGAAGAGCCCTACTGGCGCCGCCTGATCGACCTGATCCGGGAGCGCCCCCTGGCGGAGATCCTGGACGATCCGGAGGTCCGGAGACGCTGCGACCATGTCCTCGGTTCCCAGGAAAGACTGCGCCAACAACTACTGGAGCGCGCCGAGCTTCGAGGCAACGTCATCATTCTCGATCTTCGGGACACCGAGGACCTGACCGACGCCAACCGTTTTCTGCTCTATACGCTGTTCCCCGAGGGGAACATCTCGATGAAGATCGCCCGGGACTCGCAACGTGCCCACACCACCGCCATTTCGGTGGGTTACAACATCTTCAACACGACCTCCACGGTCAACGTCGGCGACTTGCTCAGCCACTACGGCGGCGGCGGCCACCGGGTGGTGGGATCCTGCAGGGTCCCGGATGGGGAAGCGGCACGGGCCGCCGACGAGATCCTGCGCCACATTTCGGAAACCGGCGGGGTAAGAGCAGAGGTTCCCGTGCCCAACGCCGCACCACACGCGCCAAAGATCGTGAACATCGACGAGGCCCTCGCCGAGCTCGCCGAAATCAACTCGGAGATCCGCCACAAGGGGTGCATCGAGGGCGACGGCTTCAACGTCGGCCTGGTTTCCTTCAGCGCCACCACGACAACGGACCCCAAACAGATCGTCCATGACGACAAGGACGTGGTGTGCCACGTGCTCCGGGGGCAGGGCCGGCTGCGCGCCTCCGGGGAAGTGACCCGGCTCCGGCCCGGCATGCTCTGCCACATTCCCAGGGGCGTGCCCCATGACTTCGCCGCCGAAGGGGCGAGCTGGTACTGTGTTATTCCCTCATCACCACCCAACGGTAGCCGCGGTGTCGCTGTGCGCCCTGGTGCTGCTTGGCGCTGCCGGGTGCACGCGCACGGAAGCGCCGGACCCACGGTATGTGCAGCCGGCGAACCTGCTCGAGATCGTCAACGAGTTCCAGCGGCTCTCGCGGGAGGATGTCTACCGGTTCGCCATCCCCAAGGACGTCACCGGCACCAATATCCTGAAGGCGACCCTGCTGCGGCTGGATGATTACCAGCGCAAGCACGGGAACGGATACAGCGACATCGTGGAGTTCACCCGGGCCACCGCCTACGAGCGTCTCCGGGACTATGAACGCGCCATCGGCCACTACCGGACCGTGGTCCGGGGGGGCGGCGAGCTGGCGGAACCGGCGAAGCGTCAACTCGACGCGTTGGAGACATTCCGGCGGATCGCCGGCACGGCGCTTCCCAAAGACGATCCGTTCAAGTACATCAAGGGCCTGGACGATGTGGTCCTGGCCTGGAACGCGTTGATCGAGAAACACCGGGGGACTCCGCTGGAGTATCTGGCCCGGGTGGAAGCGGAGCGTATCGACCGCGCCAAGGTGGCGTTCGTGGAGCTCAACCGCCATCGGCTGAACCAGGGAAACGAGCTGGTGGTCCTCGGCTACAGCCAGCTCCTCTCGCGCCATGTGCAGAGCAGGAACTACCACCGCCACCTGCTGGACTTCGGCGACTACTACGTGAGTCTGGCCAGGGAGTATTCGATTCGGAATGATCCGCAGGGCCTCGACTTCAATCTCGAGACCTTCGAGGGATTCGCACAGTCCGCCATGAAACTGTACGCGGAGGTGGCTCAGCAGGACGGCGTGCTGGAGAAGCTCGAAGCCGCCGGGAACCTCGAAGGACTGAAGAGCCTCATGGAGCAAACGAGGAGACTCAACCGATGAAGACCCGCGCATGGCTGGTTTGTCTGCTCCTGGTGCTGCCGGTTTCCGCCATGGCACAGTCCGCCAGGGTGTCGGCCGAGCGGATGCTGGACCCCCTGCCTGACTTCGATCCCTTCGAGCCACCGGTTACGGCCGAGCGGTACTTTCCCGACGAGTTGGAGCAACGCGTGCGCGTGGCCATCCTCGACGCCCTGAACCACCGTACGGAGCGACTCCGTGAGCACGTCCGCTACTTCGAGGGCAAGGACAAGGAACGGCTCGATGACGGCGGCAACGTGAGCGGACTGGCCCACCACGTAAGGGAACTCCACCACGGCAACCTCTCGGACCGGGAAACGTACCGCGACGCGCAGCAGAAGGCGCTCGCCGAAGCTCCGCCCGGCGCCCCCCAGCGGTTGATTCGCGCCCGGCTGCGCCGGGATGAGCTGGAACAGGCCGAGTCCCTGGTCGCCGAGCACCGCATTGGACGCTGGAACGCGCTGTTGAATCGGCTGCTCGCCTCCGTGGACCTGATAACGCTGGCGTCGGGCTCGTATGTCACCGCGGCGGTGGATACCGCCTTTGCGGAGGTGCAGCGCACGCGCACACCACGCATGCCGGAGGCCGAGCGCAAGGCCCTGGCGCTCTACAAACGCTTCATCGACCGTTTCCCGGATGACCCGAGAAGCGCGGAGGTGGCCGAGAAAGTCACGGCCCTCGAAGCGGACCGAAAGGGCATCTGGGTTCACAAGCAGCTCACCCGCGCCGGCCAGGCGCTGGATGAGGGCAAGATCGAGGATGCGGAGTTCCATGCCCACCTGGCAGCGGTGGTCGACCCGCAGGCCAACGAGGTGGAGGAACGGTTCCGGGAAATCGGCGCGGCCCGGGCCGCTCGCGAGGAAAACCGGCGGCGACCGCTCTCCGTCGCCGAAGTCGACAGCCTGTCCGGCGCCGCTCCCCAACAGGCCGGGGATGTTCGGGCGCTGCTGTACGCTTTGGTCAAGGGGGATGCCGCCTCGGCCGCGGAACAGGCGCGGAACATGGAGCGCCGGTACGCCGGCGAGTCCTTGGGGACCCTGGCCAAAGACGCGCGGGCTGTAGCTCTGGAGCTGAGCGGACAACACGACGAGGCCCAAGCGAACCCTTGACGAGATCGCCCGTACCGCGGCCGGCCCGCGCGAGCGAAAACGCGCCCGTATCCTGCTGGACAGCCCGGAGTACAATCTTCGGGCGGTCCTCGACCGCGCCCGCACACGGTACCGCCTGGAACAGGCGCGCTTCGTGCTGCTTGGTCAGAACTTTCTCGAGAAGAACGTCCTGATCGGGGCGGCGCCGGTGATCACCCACGGCGTTGCCGGAGCCACCACCCTCGGCACCGCCAATATCCTGATAGTGACCAGCAACGTGCTGGAGATGCTCAGCGGCAATCCGGTGTCGAATCAGGCGGTCATGGACGCCGCTGCCCGGTATGTCCGTTCCCATCCGGACTCCGAGGAATCCGGCGACGCCTACCAGGTGCTGGGAAAGGCCTACGAGAGCAGGGGGCACCTCCACCAGGCGCTGTATCTACTACAGGCTGTCCGGAGAGTTGTCCGCCGAACAAATCCGGGAATTGGAGGAGAGGGCCGGGCGCACGCTGTTGAAGGCCGCCGAAGAGAGTGACTCCAAGGCGCGGCAACGAACCCTGTATGCGGCCATTCTCCAGCACTACCCGGACACACCCGCCGGGGAGAAGGCCAAGGGCCTGCTGGCGCGGCTGGTCTCCCTGAAGAACCGGGGCTTGCAGCTCAGCAAACAGTTTCTCGCCGAGAACCCGGAGCTCTACGGATCCGCGCGGGCTCGGCCTCAAGGCCGGACTCTTCGACGGGCGAACCGACAACATGGAGTTGGCCGACCCCGGCCTCAACATCCTGGGCCGCGACGCCATGCTGTTGCACTACGACACCCCGTGGGGGATTCGGACGCGCACCTATCCGGTGGCGAAGCAGCGGATGGAGGGCCTGGAAACGCTGCTGCGGGAGAAACACTACGAGCTTGCGATGCAGGACGTCGACGAAAGAGACGGCAACAGCGTCGGCGGGCTCAAGGATTTTCCGGCACGACTGATGCAGTTCGAGCCGGCGGAGCGCCGCCCCGGCGACGCGGATCTGGAATTCATCCGCCGTACCGGTCGTGGGGCAAATCCGGGCTCCCCGATTCTCGACCACGAGCTGCTGAGCGCCAAGGAAACCGATCCCCAGCGGGCCTACGGCCTGCCCGCCATGCGCGGCAGCGTCACCGCTTCGGGAGTCAACGTGCGCGCGGACGCGCCGGAGTCGTTCCTGGCCGACGAGCTGGTGGTGGGCAACGACGCCGTCGGCGCCTATGCCGGAGTCCGCCTGCCGATACCGTTGCTCAAGGACTTCATCCCGGTGGACTTCATGCTACGCGGCCGCGCCGGGCTGCCGTCCCTCACGCCCCAGATCCGCAAGCCGAAGACGTCGGTAGAGGACGCGCGCCTGTACCGGTAGCCCAGACTCCGGCGCACCTGTCGGGCACCGGTCTTTCGTAGGTCGGGTCAGCCGAAGTTGTAACCCGGCATGCCGCGCGGTGTCGGATTACGCTTCGCTAATCCGACCTACACGGAAACTACACGGACACGAGCCCCACCCCGGCGCTCCGTTTCCTCGTAGGTCGGGTTGGCCGAAGGCGTAACCCGACATGGCCGCCCCCCTACCCTGGCATTGGGATCGGATATTCCCTATGCTTGCTTCGGCAACCAAGAGCCCGTTTGTCATACCCAGCCCAGGAGGAAATCATGAGAAAAGTGCTTCAGCCCCAGAGCATTCCCGATCCGCGGCCGCGTTACTCGCAGGGCATTCTCGCCGAAGGGAAACGCCTGCTCTTCATCGCCGGCCAGACCGCGGTGGACGCCGACAACAACGTCGTCGGCAAGGGTGACGCCGCGGCCCAGGCCGAGCAGGTGCTCAAGAACATGAAGGCGGTTCTCGACGAAGCGGGTGCCAGTTTCGCCGACATCGTCAAGATCACGACCTACATCACCGACCCGCGATTCCGGGACGACCTGAACCCCGCCCGGCTCAAGTATTTGGGCGACAACCCGCCCGCCAGCACCCTGGTGGTGGTCGCCGGCCTGGCCAACGCGGACTATATGGTGGAAATCGAGGCGATTGCGGTGCTGCCGGATTGACGGTTGGGGGCGACAGGAGGCGTGGTTGTAAAAGGCATCACACCAAGACGAGAGGCACGTTACAGCAAGGGAACCTATAACTGGTTGACTATGCTGGCCCGCAGCCGAGAATAGTCACATCCGAACAGCCACGAACCGCTCAAGGCACGAGTAGGAATGGTAGGGGCATGGCCACCGCTCCCCGACTGCAACTAAAACTCGTCGATCAGCAGATGCTGACGCAAGACTTGCCGCGTGCCTGCACGCGTTGGACCGTGCATGAGTAGGCATCATCAACAATCTTTGGCGCGGCGTCAATTTGTGCGTTGCTGTCGAGGGACACAACCATCCCACTCGACGACGTCCGGCCATGACCAGTCTCACGGGACGCAGATGAATACTCAGAGAGAGGAGCCCACTTCCCATGCGGAGCCGACCGTCGCATCTCGACGCGTCTTAGGGAGCGTACTACTAACGCAGCAGACCTCGCGGATTATGTCTCGCACGTGTGGGCACTCACGACCAGCAAGGGACTGTTCGGACCCACGTTTGGAGGCTGCGCGTTCCGGAATGCAAGCAACACGGGTTCTCGCTCGCCACGGTGTCACAACCTGGTCGATTGGGTCTTTCGGCGTGACGTAGCGTGGACGAGGTCGTGCTCGAATATGTAGTGCGGGAGCCGGAGCTGGTTTCCAGAAAAACTGTATGCCGCGGACTTCCTTGCGGTGTCACCCAGAATCTGCACGAGTGCTAAATGCAACCGTTCAGGCGGTCGGGGAGTACCCGCCTTCCGTGCGTCACCACTGGTTCAACGGAACGACAGCGCGATGCAGGCCGACGCGCCGTTGAGGCCGCCGGTGTCAAGCTTCCCGCCACTGCAAGCGCTTGGGCATATTTTCTGCTTCACGCGCTTAGCTTTATCGACACCCAGGGCAAGCTCGCGATGCTCGTTCCGGAAGCGATCCAACAGGCGGACTATGCCCGCAGTGTTAGAGACGCGCTCGTTGCCGCTTCGAGCGCGTTTGCTTAGTCCATATCCGTGAACGCATGTTCGACCGTACGGACGAAGCAGTCGTCGTGGTCGCCGCGTCAGGCTACGGCAAAGCGGGGAGCCTTCAGGTTGAGGCGGTCGAGCGGATCCAAGACTTGGCAGCCGTTCTGAACGACGCGGAGGGCAAACGTTTTCCGTCGCACATGACGACTGTACAGGGCCGTCTTGTGGACTCCAAGGTCGTTCAGGGGAGTCTGGTTTTGCTGCAACGAATGGGAGGATCATGCATCCAGTCAAAAGAGTACTCCGATATCGGTGTCAACTCTACACAATCGATGGGTCACTGGCGCCAACCAGTCACTTCATCCGAACAGCGCGAGACATGGAAGAAATCGGTTTATCCTGGCAGCTTTGGGTCACGTAGTGCCGCGTACGCGTTGGCTTTCAGGACTGGACTTTACTGAAAAGGATCTCCAAGATCACGCCGATGCCGGCCAGCGGAACGTGCTGGTAACGCTCGGAGAACGAAGACACTCCTGGCGTTCGACAGTGGATTGCTGAAGGGATCGAGGGCGGGAGTCAATCACGTTTCAAGTGCACAATATCCGCAAGCCGTGCGTTTTATATCCCACTTCCACCCTATCCGACGCTCTTTCGCCACCTGTTCGTACGCGTTTGCGCGCTCCGTTGCTTTGCTGGTTCTTACCGTGCAGACTGTCCTATGCACGAACACACTCCACGCGGTATACTGGGAAACCGACTGAGCCAACGCCAGAGACCGCGGTGGTCGGGGTTCTTACGAGTTGGCTCTAGCTCTGGGCCGAACTCTACGGTCGCCGTTATGCGCGGGGGAGTGTTGAAAATGGAACCCGGCACATGGAAACGGCTCCGCGATTCGATGCCTCAGGTGACGGGGGATGACGTTCGCCGAGTTGAACCAAATCATGCGACGTGGCTAGAGAATCAAGCTAGGACGCTAGCGGATTCGAACTTGTTCTTGGAGAGCGTTTAGGCTTGGCGAAACAGACATCCTGCGACGCCAGCACGCCGCGCAGAGTTTAGTCCGGACAACGCCGCACCCGCAGGACGGCAGTGGTCATGCTAATGTCACCGTCGACACCACCTGTCCGCGAGTTGGGCGAGTTGTTGGTCGGGCGTGACTCTACCCGCCTTGATAGAACTGATCAAGGAATACCGCCTACGACGCTGACGCGACCGAGGTCAGCATACTTGGTGAAGGGCTGGATGATCCGAGTCGTAGGAAGTATCCTCGTGACCGACAACGGCGTCGGAATGAACAGCGAAAACAGTCGAAAATGGTTTTTGCGAGTCGGCACCCGCCTGAAAGATCAGGGAGACCGCGGCGATCCTTCTGTTCCAACGTCGCTATACTGCGCAAAGGGTATAGGACGGCTGGCTGCTCACAAGCTGCTAGAAAACTGGAAGTAGATAGCGTATGGCAGCCCGGAATCGGCGGGGCCAAGAGAGCGCTCTATGCGCAATAGATTGGGGACGAGATAGGCGGTACGATGACGCTTGATGAGGTTGAGGCGCCGACGCTATTGTGCTGGAGGCAGAAGAAGGCCCGCAAGAATGCTCCTCGTGAACGACCTCATCTCTCAGTGCGGTTGCGACGGGCCTGGACTCCGTCCGAACGCGCCAGATTTTTCGCGGAGGTCCAATCATTTGACCCACCAGCATTCCTATACAATCCGCTCGCCCCATCCATCATTGGGAAACCTCTGCTTTTTGACACGCCAATTGTGCGAGACCAGGGTACCCGCAAATCGGCGTTTCCCTTTCACGTCAAGCTCGAAGGAGACTTCGCTGCAGGCGAGAACTACTCGGGCCACTTGTGTTGCAGAATGGCCAACCAACTGGGTTCTCGAAATCCGGCGGAACCCAAAACACAACGACGTGGATTCACGATCGCACGACAAAGGAAAACACTCCGCAATCCCGAAGCAATACCGATCCACCAACTCATACCTCACCCCCACACCTACGCGGGGACGCACTTCGAGCGCGATTCTGGTGAGAGAGAAGGAAGCATGAAGCTCACACGAGATCAGCGGGTGTGGGCTACCACGCACAGACTGGCGTCGGAGTTCTACATGGAAGGGTTTCGGGTCTTGCCGTATGGAGATGTAAGAGATGACTGGCTTTCGATTGACACTGACTATACCCGACGTCCACGACAGCTCGAGATGCTTCAGGACCTCCGCCTCAGTACAGCGTCCACTGACGCTGACGAAGGCATAATGAGCGTGCCGAACAACAACTACTTTGGCGCGGTCTTTCTGACCCAGGAGCGTTGTCCTGATCTGCGTTCTTGGTGAACCGTGAAGGCCTTCGTTCAGAGGGCCAGTTTTAGACACATTGGTAGGCTCGTGCGAAAGGAATAGAACTTTGCACGCGAGCACGGGCAGCAGCGGCTTACGCAGCCCGTTATACAAAGGAAGGAAGTTCGTCGCCGTAAGTCGACGGCTGCAAAGAGCCCGAAGGAACTACCGAAACACCAACGGCGACAACGAGAAATGATGTGAGGAGGCTGGTTGTGCCGGATCGGCCTTCAAAAAGCTGTCCAGTCATTGAAAAGAGCCGCGCGAGTTTCCAACGAAAGGAAATGCCGCGAACGAAAGCCGGATTCGAAGCAATGAGGCCTTGCAAGGAGTTCGATTGAGACTTGACAGCAGAACTTGTGTAGATCTCTGGTCGGAACGATTAAATCTTGCTTGTTCTGCTTCCGTGGGAACTCTCAACTGGCGGCTTTCGTGCACGAAATCAACGGTTTTGATCGGGATGTCGCAGGCTATCGAGAGATGCATTGGCGAACAGATACTCGAAAAGGACGGATTCTCTCCCGAGCAGCAATCAACAGTTTAGGCAGGACGCGAGCGGTCACCTCGCAATCTGAAACAAAGGACTGGAGCGCAAGAATCTTACTGATGGAAACTCGAAATACCCGACTCACGCGTCGCCGCTCGCGCCAACCTCTAAGAGACGCTTCGTGCTGCGGTTGGCCTTCATCCGGCACCAAGCGGGGGGGGAAAACGCAGCGGCATCGACATCGAACAATAGGATTCGTCCGACCGACTTGAGGTCTCTCCGATGTTCCGCCGAATCACGGGCCGTGTTTGTGTTCGCCACTCCTAACAAAACGCCGTCAAGGCTGTTGGGAAAGATGGCGTATTCGCGCTTCCGCATACCCTAAAGGCGGTCAAATCCGGATCCTCATCCAGAACACTGGCACCGCTGTGGAACTCAATGAGGCAGAGCGCTGGTTCAGGCCGTTTGAGTCGACGACAACGAAGGTGGATCCGATACTGGCGTCAGGGATGGGGCTGGGGCTGACGATTTCCCGCAACATGCTGGAGAACACTACGGAGCCGTAAATAAGATTCGTTCAGCGAAGCAAAACCGTTTGCGACCGCCTGTTGAAGTCGCCTTGCCGAACTGGGAGTCAAACCTGATGACGACGACTAATAGACCGTCTATTCTCGTCATTGACGATAAAGAACAAGACGTTCACAAACTGCTGCACTCGGCATTTAGCGATAAGCAACGACGACCCTAGTCCATCCTCAAGATGTGGAAATTCGCCACAACTGGAGGCAATGGCCAGACGGGTTTTTAGTGGATTATCAGTTGGACAATTGGTCTTAACGGGGAAGCTCAGCCGGTTATCATGAGGCCGACAAACGGTAGGCCTTGCGCCGTAGTGTACGGGAGCATGGGAACGGTTAAGAAGGCTACGTTTACGGCCTTGGCGCTCCATACGGGACATTTGGAGAATATCCAAGGGCGCTTCCACTGCCACCGCCCAACACGTCGTTGCACTGCATGAAACAATTCTTCGAGTGGGTTTCAAGAAGGAGGATCCCCACCGCTACGAACAGATGGTTCTTCTTGCGGAAGCCATTCGCCAGCTTCCTAACCAATGGCCAAAAGACATGGATGGCTTTAACCCAACGGTGGGACAGCTTCTCGCGATGGACAAAGATGCAGGCTCGTTGAGCGCTGGGGTGGC